CGGGCCCTACTCCCGACGAGTTCCGCCGTCTAGTAGGATGAACGTCTTGATACTCCCCACACTTGCATTTCCGTCGTACTGACGACAGCACCTGGCAGGTCCGCCGTTTGTTCGCTGCTGCATTGGACCCGTGCTCAGCGTATTCATCCCACTCCCTATGTAAACGGCTGTTAACATACGCCACCTAAGGAGTCCAGTAGATAGTAGGAGCGGTGATTCAGAAGCGTACCCAAGCACCGAATGCTATAGTGACGACTCCCAACACTGAACATATGCTGATCAGCGCTACTTCCTCGCTACTTCCCATAATGTGGACTGTTGTATGACGAGGGCAGCCAATTTAATACGATAAAATGCGTAAAACTATCAAGTACCGAGTGTAACAGCAGATTCGAAATTCGCCTGTGACCAACAAATATCGTCAACAAAATATTGACTTCAACCTATCTGCGGTGAGGTACTCGAACTGAATATTTAATCAGCCGCGGACTCCTGCTCATCCACGTTCACCACTAGCAAGATGCTGAAAACGCTGCCCGCATAACACAAAAGTCAGTGTTGTTGTCTACCGTACTGGTGCAGTAGTACGCTAGAGAAGGGAGGCTATGATGCATCATAGTCGCGAAGGCTAGAAGGTTGATACAACCCCGACTACCACATGGTATACACTAGCTTCAAGATCTGGCGCACATTACAGAACTTTACTGCCACCGTTCTACTGCTCAGATGGTAAACCGCGCAGCTTCTACACGGAAGGGCGCGCGTTCGATTCCCATGAGGATCATTTCTCACATACTCCAACGAACTGTTAATGCAACGACATAGTCCAATGGCAATGAAACTTGAGCCCTTTTGGCGTTAAGGTAATGATCGAAAGACGGGGAACGATGTTCAAACGGAGCCAGCAGTAAGCCGGCCGAGCATTCTCCGAAACGCTGAATTGATGATACTATCAACGATCGACTACATGTTACATCATACAAAAAGTACCCCAGGAAATGGCAAGGGTGATATCAAGTGACGAATACAAATATCAGAAAACGCCTATTCCATGCATCCTGTAAGTCGCGCCGTCATCGACGTCGTTGCTTCTTGAGACTGACTGCTCGGGCGTGTTAGAAGATTCCTCAACACCCTCTTCAGCATCCTTGTTCGATTCAACCTGAACGACGACGGCAAGCTTTACCACACCAGAGCGAACTAGTGGATATCCCCACCTCCATCCTGCATACCGGACAACGAGGCTTACGGGAGCTCACGAACCACCTAATCAAAAGAGACACTTATTGGGGTCATATAATTTATCACTGCAGTAGTTTCGCTCCTACCCATGCACACATTCTTCATGGAAAATGTGACCACACTTGAGCTCGCACACCATTTCATCATTCTCGAACTCTCCGAGGCATATAGCGCAGTCGCAAGACCAGTCAGAGCTGAAGAGGATCCTACGAACGCCGACGTAGGCCAGATCGTGCATACTCGTCGTCCCCAGCGCCTTCTCCGGAGGCAGGCATGTCCTCAGGGCCACCACCAAGACCATGACCACTAAAGCTGAATGATAGCGATTTGGTAGCATTAATACGTAGTGAACCAGTAGAAGGTGCTTTTCGGACTCCAACGTGGCTCGGCTGTTCGCTCCCCTTACCACTCATCGCTCTATCTTCACGAGCCGCCTGAAACACAACCAGATGACCAAATGAATAGTCTATTCCACAACGAGTAGGATATGTCACAAATTCACGAGTCGTTTCTGTTCAGCAGGTTGCAGTAACAGTTTCATGTATTCAACCCAACCGGGAGTTTTGGTATATCACTCATCAATTCGGAAGCATGACTAAGTAGCTCTTATTCTAGGCTGCTTAAGCGAACTATGTCCCCTCCCAAGGAAGACTTTATTCGTTTCGCATTCTACCTCCCCCGAGCTGTTCCCGTTGCGCTTCTTATCAATCCACTGTCCATACGGCAGCCTCGTGGCCTGTTTATCGATGAGCTGGTGCAGACGTTCAGCCCTCCGCTCTGCAGACTCCCTTCTCCGTGGCTCTGATCGTATTCTAGATCTTCTAGATGGTGTGCACCTATCCAGTATTCGAACCTAGGAAACCTGTATTCAAACTCACAAGAGTCCCCCCCCCGTGAATATTACTGCAAAAATCAATGCCAGAGTGGCCACCCCCATCGCTACGCTGGTCACTATCAGTAGCGTATCTCTGCTACTGGTAACACCGGATGACGAGGGGGTAGGGGAGAACGGTGTAGAAGTAGTAGTAGTAGACATCGGCTAACACAACCTGCGACGACCCAAGACCCTCACGGCAATGAACAGTAGAAGAGGTGGAGATAATCATGGAAATATACAGCATATATCCACAGGGAAGCCATACACGGTGATAGTCTACAAGTGACCTAGGGTGAATGACTCCCTTGAAGAACCGGGCCTAATGGTACTTCCAAATCTGTACGACCCCGGCAGTCCAGCCAGTCCATTCATAGTACAGCCACAGAATCAATGCATCGGCCAGTAATCGACCGCACTACGATAAAGCACTCCGGTTCAGCGCTTGGAATGTATAATGTTGGAAGGTCTTAACGCGAATTTCCAACGGAGAATCTTCTTGTAGTGTGCATATGGTGAGTAACTGCAGATGTAGTGAAACAGGACTACTGCCGGGTTCGAATAGGAGCCGTAATGCAGTAAGTCGCGCACTACGGGCCCTGTAGTGAGGAGACACGAGGAGTTTCTGACACCCCTAGCCACCATGCTGAAGGTGCGCGACTCGCATCTGACTCGGGCAGTCCCGGCAGCTCAAGCCAAGGTAGGACTGGTACCAGTCCTTTCGGTTGCTCCCACTAGTTATACGAGTCCTCATAAGGAGGCTCACCGCTGTGCATACGGGACTCATGTGCCAACATGTTCGTTCAATCGCGCGCGCCCAATCAATCGATTTCTGTTCTTATCGAAAATGTCGTCAGGGCCTATTGACGACGTGACTATCCGTCTATGGCGGGTACGGAAGACAATTTTCGAGCTTCTGCAGGATAGAGGATACTTGGTGGCTCAGAAGTAATATCGAGTAGAAAAAATTGGGGGAAAAATTTGATTCCAAAATTATATATTTTCATTAAGTTCGTACCCACGTGTCGGGCTCAAGTTGATCAGCGAGGTTTTCGTTTACGATCCCGAACCAGATCATACCACTCTTCCTTCACTTCTCTTTTCCTACTCCCCCACTCCACCGCCTTACTCGTAGATACCTGAACGAGACCAAGGAGTCCTTTGCTCAGCAGTGGAATGAAATACAAGAGAGAAAAGGAGGCCGCCACGACCTCATCATATTGGTAACCTCAAACTCCCCTTCAAAAGCCCTCAATTTCGCAATAGGTGTCCAAGCAAGATGATCCCAGCGACCAACTCATCGTCTTCTTCCCCGATGAGAACAAACGTGTTGGAGTGAAGCCCATCAGAACGTAATTACCTCCCATTCTCAACGTCCATGTGTCCATCCTGATTGTCTATAGACTCGCACTGAAGATGGAGGAGCAGAGGCTTTCTCGAGCCATCTTGGTCGTACAGCAACCTCTCACTGCTTTTGCCAAGACTGCTGTAATAACAACTCATCTGTTTTAGGGGATAGTCTTTTTACGACTCAGATTCAGGAGGCGAGCCCCCAGATGGAGATAGAGGTTTTCAACGAGTCAGAATTGGTAGTGAATATCACCCATCACGAACTAGTCCCAGAGCACAAGCCTCTCACGGCAGAGGTAATTCTCCCACTTCAGAATTGACTTGATGTTTGTGACCATCTTTAGGAGAAGCGGTTGCTACTTGAGAGATATAAAGTGAAGGAAAATCAGCTGCCGAGGATTCAGAGCTCCGACCCAGTGGCGAGGCAATGATGACAATAACGACGGCTTTAGTGAAGTGAAATTGTCGATCTCAGGTATTACGGTTTGAAAAAAGGTCAGGTTATGAAGATCATCCGTCCATCTGAGACTGCTGGTCGCTACGTTACTTACAGGCTCTGTGTATAGTCGCTTTACAACAACAACAACGAGTGTAACGTCAACGAGAATATGAGGGAGATTTACTACAACTGTCTCTCTCGAAAGGACAGTCCTCTTGCGTTGGGTAGTCGTAAAATTATAACCGGGTCGTTTAGGATTGTGTACAGTGTGATGAGTAACCAGCCTCCGACACCTCCATCGCGGCGACATGCGGTGCCTCTCCGTCCTTATACTCGACTATCTTCGATCAAATCTGAGCCTCAGGCTGACTCCCAACCGCAGTTCTTGAGGAAGCGGGTAGTGTTCGGAAGTGGCTGATTTGGCGATGGAGTGGTATGTTAGTTCGCTCCCTCGAAACCACGGCAAACTGATAAGGCAGAATATGAGCAGTTAGTGGCTGCTGCTGCCAAGACGGGAGATCAGGGAGACGGCGTTGGTCGAGGGACGAGTGCTAGGCAGCTACTCATGATGGCTGACAAGAAGTAGCGCTATGGAACTGGTTTACCATCATTCGATGCACACGCGTTCGCTGATGAATCGTAGTAATAGTACTAGTCGGAAGTGTGATCGAAGTGCTCATCCGTGGAACTCAATTGTCACTACCACAATCTCGGGTAATCATTGGGTGTAATTTTATTAGACAGCAACTGCAACGGCGGCAGGCCCAGGCTATGGGGATGAGCTTCGACCAGATGGCGAAGATGAAGCAAAGTCAGAACTCGGCCGTGAGTCGATGTAGGCCTCTGCCGTACTCCCAACCGGTAATCCTCATCTTCCTCAGCCCAACAGGTTATCGGCTCTCAATGGTTTGTTAAGCCTAAGAAGCAGGAAGGCCATCGTGGTAGTAAGGGGCGGATGTTCTTGTCAATTCTGAGCCGCTTTTGTCGACTTCTTTTCTCATCAATTGCGTTGGTCCGACTCAATAGAGGACTTGTGGTGTGTCTCAGGGAAGAGTAAGGGGGTATCGGACATTGCGTTTGGTGACGAGGATGACCTCACTTACCGTCCCATTGGAATACCCTACTTCCAGACCAAGTAATGGCTAATATCGAACGCTGGATAATGATGATGGTGATTGTGCGTAGGGAAATAACGGACTTAAAGTCGACTGAGGAAGAGGAGGAGGAGGAACGGGAAAAGAAGGGGAAGCCGAAACGTCCGACGCTTCTTAACATTGATGAGAAGAATCGTAACGCTGCTAAGATGTTTATGATGACCAACGAGAATCCCGAAACAGGGGTGAGTTCATTTAGTAGTAGAATATTCTATGTGGCTTTCCACTCAGCATCTACAGCCTGGGAAAACAGTAGTGGTTGATGAAGATTGCGAGTTTAGAGAGGACAGCTTCCTATTAGTGCAGTTGCCACAGCTTCTTCCCAAACTGGTGGAAGATGCTCCGCCCGAGCCGACGAAGAAACATGTGAGCATGCAGACGTGTTTTCTCTCCATCTGGTAGGGTTGCTGATAGGCTCCTAAGGTCGACGATGGATCGGTTGAGAATGCCGTGACACCGCTGAGTGAAATTCCAGACGGCCGTATTGGCACGTTGCAGATCTACAAGTACTTGTGCTGAACTCATTGGGTCAGATAGCGATGATTGGTCAGGTCCGGCAAGGTTATGATGAGGATAGGAAACGCGAGTTTCAAGTTGGATCAGGGCAGTGAAACGCATTTCGATCAACAGGTGACCTCTCCTTTGCAGTTCACCGCTGCTTAACAACATGTGCGTGTTTTAGGTTATGTGTGTCTGCGCCAGCGATCTGGAGGCGGCCTTTTTGGGTCAAGTTGCAGGACGTGTGATTGTAACGCCGGATTTGGCAGAGACCACCCCAAGTTGACTTACCCCCCCAGATTGATGATGAACATAACTGCCATAACCTTTACGTCTACAGTTGAACCATCTCTGTGTTGGGATATGTTCCTTTCTCCATTATGAACAACCTTGTGTTCATGTCACGTGAGTATTCGATACGAGATCGCAAGAACGCTTGGAAGCATACGAGGGAAAGGCGCGACGTTTGTGACATACACCATCCTGACGTGGATAAGGTTCGTATACTCCTCACCATGTCTGAATAATACAATAAACACAGTACGCCTCATCCCTAATGGGTACGATTCGATCTGCGATGGACACTGGCGACTTATATGATCCTAGTGGAATGCAAACTCTTTGTGAGCTCACGCATCACATCATGGGGCTAGTTAAGATGAACTTTTAAGCTGTATTATTGTCGATTGTGGAAAGAATCCAACTAGCACATCTCGAGCCTGGAGTAGTCAAAACACCACATACGGTGAGAATTCCACTCAAGCGTGATACCATCGACTCTTTTCAAAATCCACCTCAGAGACAGGCGGTGAGAACACAAAACGTGCAATGTCACCGAGTGGCTATAACAAATGATTCGGGCTGATAGTCCTCATCGATTCAGTCGATAACTGCACGATTAGTCTCAGTTTCAGCTGAGTACCGTCATCCACACAATGGCATCGTTCAACGTCATCACCGCACTTTTTCTCATCATTACTACTGCTGTCTACGCAACCAACGAGCTACCCTGCGACGAGTACTGTGAAAGCATCAAGCCAGAGTCCTACTGCAAATACTGGCAAGAGCCCTCAGTCTGCTACGGCACTTCTCACCCCTGCAGCTGCGAAGTCATGACTACTACAGCGAGGGCTAGTGAATCTACAACCTGGACATCCTCAATGAGTTCTACAGAGATTCATCCGACGAGTGGTAGGCAGTGTGATGCCTTTTGTGCCTCACAGCAGCCCGGGAGCTTCTGTATGACTTATAAGCTACCTTATGTCTGTCACGGTACGGATATCCCATGTAGTTGCTGAAGCCGATAATCTCAAGCTTTTCATTCAACTACAGTAGTCTCCTCCCTTTGTTCTAATAGATGAGTTCAACCAATGTGTTACCACTCTGTACGTGAATGTCTATCCTTAGTGTGATTCAAGGTGTGTGATAGATCTCTTGAACTGTCAGTGTTGTTGTGTTTGACCATATTATCATGAGAAAGCTTCGAGTAAGAATATGATCATGTGGATGTTCGTGTCCTTTTCGAATCGTTCAACCTTCACAGTTAGTTCACAAAGGTATTATGAACTCAAACGTACAGGTGTACAGTCATCGTTCATACACATCGAGGTGGCTTCACTTAATCTGTGAGTAGCCGGCTCCCCTCAATGATGCACGAAACACATTCTTTCGTTCTTGAATACTGCATTGGATAATTGAACAATAAACGCATTATACGTGGGAACATTGTACATTCTCGTCATCAGAGATACCGTCGCAGCAGAGCTTGGAAGGAGGCAGGAGTTTCTCCAACTCCCTTACTATCGGGAGTTTGCGACTCAATACGATCTCCCCTTCCTTCTTCCGCTGCATCTTCGTTGATCATCTTTCCCACCCCATTCCGACTCGCTTGGACTTTACCCGCAGCTCTCAGAGCCATCTCGGCTACCTCCGACGAAATTTCCGCCAGCGATCGACGACGCCTCTTCCTGCACGACGATGATGACGTGGAGCTTCCAAGAGGCGATGACGTTCCTGTCGGAGGGGACCCATGACTGCGAGGCGTCCTCGGGGAAGACGGCGTAGACGGGTTATCCTCACTAGAGAGATCGGCGTCATCAATAACCACCAAGGGCACACACTCATTCACAACAGCATCAGAAGGGGCACCCTTGTTGCCTTCACTAGTTGGACTCGTGAACACCAACCTCTTCGCGATAATATCGGTCGGTCGGTCGAGGGTCAACCACAGTCGATGATGACACAGCAACGCAGGTAGTCTCCCCCTGGGAGTTCCTGGCTCGCTCTTGCTCGAGTATCTTAACGGCTGCCTCAACATGGATACACCAGTCACCGGGGTCTTGGTTTAGTTCTGTTGGACTAGTACAAGAGGAACCTAAGTGGACGGGCATGCACTCCTCGGCTGAGGGCCGCTGCTCGGCTAATGGTCGTATACTTACAGATGGCCATGACAACCTCAGCAGTCGATGCATCATCAGGCAGCTTCATCAAAAGAGAACCTGAAGTAGAAAGAGTAACTTCCTAGGTGCTGATTTGTCATTTACATATGGCTTCACCCCGGACTTCTACTTGGCGAAGGCGCATGCCAGGGAGATGGGGACTCCACGCTTCGGGGGCCACTCGCACAACATGCTGAGATGTATCCTCGTTGACCATCCTCAAGGTACTGGTAAGGACTGTTGTGGAAGTCTATCGGGCGATTTGTTCCCTACCTTTCCTCCACTGCCGAAGCTGCTGTTGATAACCGGGCCGCTGACTCTGACGTCTTGTACCCGCCCTCAGGACTGGTCTCCTTCTCCTCATCATCTACCAGGGTCCGCCGCCGTACGCAAACCCCAACACGAGGCGGTTGTGGGTCGCTTGTGGGTAAGAGCAGCAACCGAGCCACTAGAGCAGCATGCTTGCACAGCCCAGGACGACGATCGTCGCAACTACCTGAGGGGCCGAGGAGACGATGATACCACTGCTAATACTATGCTACATTGAAAGACCAAGTCTTCTAAGGGTGAAGGGCTACCGCTGGTAGTCGAAGCATCATCCCCTTCTTCCTCCCCTTGGACTTGAGTCGAATCAATCGCCTCCTCCTTGCGGCCGATGGTCACCGTATAGTATGGGAAGGGATACGCCGGTCCGTTGGTCATTGATGACTTCCGAGGAGTCGTGAAGGGGTCATCACTCTCTTGTTGCCGCAATTGCCATCGCCGGATCATCTGTGCCATGGTAGTAGTAGTGGCTCGGACCTCCACCACGTAGGTCGCAGTAGTCGGGTCGAAGTGAAAGCCAAGAATCATCCTTCGTCCCAACACGGAGAATCTCCTGCTGATATCTGACAACGTAAGGACATGCCAGAGGGGTAAGCAGAGGGCATACGTACAAGAGACCCCAGGGGAGTTGCAGGCCTTCGAGATGTGCCTACACGAGACCGACGGTAGTGCCCAGTGAAGGCTACAGTCGATGATTATCTCATCGGACGATGCTGAGGCCATTCGTTGCCTCCAACATGTAAATGATACCCCCAAAAGCTGTTCACTTCACCCTATGGACCCATCATCAATCTGATTACCGAACTCGGGCGGAACTACAGTCGTAGAAACGAAACAAACACTAGTGTTTATGAGGCTCACCCCAAAGAGGCAACAGGTCACTCATTGTCCCCGAAGACTGTGTCTATAATTCCGCCACCATTCTGGCTACACGTTCCTCTTAAAAGAGGTTTGGTTGCGGCCTACGAAGTATCTCCTTATGCTGAACTTCCTCAGCGATGATGCCACGCCCAAGTTTGTCCCGACTGTTTGTCATCCACCCTCACGTAGGAATCGAAAATGATGCCATCAGCCTGATGCCAGCCGACGCCCACTTGGAGTAACTCAACGGAGAACCGCAGGGGTAGGTGGAAAGGTTAAGTGTTGAGGAACGTGGTAAATACGTAAGGGATATTTCATCGCTTTCTATAGCGGGACTTGCCCTTAGGGCCCTTCTGCTTCTTAATGGACTTGTCGACCCCTCTAGCCTTCGCTTGGGCGGCAGGGGCAGAGGGTCCTTTAGAGACCTGACGACACCCGTCCCACACAGGTTCAAATCCCACAAGGCCCTATTTCTACCTTCTTATTGCCCTTCTTCTTCCTACTAGGGGCCATATCAGTTCGGTCCTCTTCACCCTCGAAGCCAGCACGCATGCGCCCACCTCTGTCCTTCTTCCCTGCACCACACAACCTCCACACACCCCCAAGGGCCACCTCCCCTCAGCCGCCTACTCATCCGTTTAGCCAGGCCCCTCTGCATGCCCTCCTCATGCCTCCGCTCCGCCCTCTCCTGATCCTTCTTCGCCTGCTGAACTTCCAACTTCCTAGCAGCTCGTTTCTCCGATCTCGTCTTGGGCACCTTCGACGCTGAAGTTAACAACACTAGATGATCCGAAACACAGCGACAACCGAGTTGTGCATATCACACATACTACTCAGGTAAGGGGGAGAATCGGCTCTAACCTTACCAGAATCAATAGCCTCAGCACCGGCGCCCTTCCTGATCCACTGCTGTCTAGGTCGCCTGTCGATCTCCTTTCGATGTGTCTGGTGACCGCCGATACATGACCATTCAGCTACTACTAAGGTGAGGGACTTACCTTCATATTGTCCACCTTTTTTGCCATCACATCAGCCAAACGAAGCTCCCTCTCTACCGATTCCTCCTGCATGATTTGCTTCACCTTATCCTCACTCTCCGTTATTTTAACTGCGAATAGACCTTACCACTCCTTCCCCACCAAAGGCCCCCCACCTGCCATGTCCTTGACATCCTCCGAGTCGACGGTCCTCTCCAACACCTTGGGCTGATTCGGATCAGAAGACTTCTTCCTTTTCACATCAGCAGTACCTGCATAACAAACTAACAACCTCAAACACTATATGAAAACCGAATCGTCGAAGCCTGTCAAGAGCAAGAACTAGACGACGACGTGGCCAAGCATTTCAGCGAGGAAAAATATGTACAGGGTTAACAACATTTGATGATAGCAACGAGATTGTGGGATTTCTGTTCGTCTTTATACATTTTCACCCCGAGTAGTGTGTGAATTTCTATCATGTAGCTCTGAAAACTCCGGAGCTCAGCTGAGGAAACCGAAAATATATTCCGAAACTGGGGAATCCACCACAGAAGGCCTCGACGTTGATTCCAAACCTTCTAATGGCAACCCCCCCCCAGCATTGCAGGCTGCCCATCGACCTTCGAGTATTCCCAATCGACAGCGTTGTTCACTTATCCCCAACATTAGTACATTTCTTAGCAATATGTTTAACCTGCTTATACTCTCCTGGAGTATACATGGTCACACTAGTACCCGAAGCCCCAGCACGGGCGGTCCTAAGACAACCACTTAACCGCGTCTAAGGAAAAGGAGACAACCACACCTGCCAACACGATGGACGTATTTTGTAACATCTGGAGGGAGCTCAAAGTTGATGACCGTCTCGACATGGGGGAGGTCCAGCCCTCTCGCCGCCAAATCAGTACAGATAAGGTGAGTTGCTTTGCCTGAATGTAAGAGCTTCGCTCCGCTAAGAATGTACCCGACAATTCTGACTCACCCGACTCGAAATCAGCAAGAGCCTTGACTCGTTGTTGCTGGCTGAGGTTGCCGTGGAGCTCCGCAAACTTAACCTTTCCTACTAGACCCAAGAGGACCGCCATACGATGAGCCGTCTTCTTCTGTGCGCAGAAGATCAGACAACGCTTCCTATAAAACGAAAAATCTCCGCTTCGCTCCGCTAAAGATTGACAATTACGTAAAGTGTTTCGTGCAAGCAGCCAGCAGCGTGGCTTCTCGTTGTTGCTCTGAAGTGACTCTGATCTGAAGGACGACTACGACACCACAGGTTCTCAGAAATCTCTTACGAATTCCTGTGTGAGCGTAGGAGACACTCGATTAGCCTTAGTGGTCTCAATAGTGACAGGCTTGGACAGAACCACCTTGGCCAGCTTCAGCACCTACAATGCAGAGGTCCACTCAGATGAGGTTATCAGGCATCACCTCTTGATTCATGGTAGCGCTGAACATCATGGTTTGGCGAGACCGATTGCAGTGCTTTTGAATAATCTGCCACAAACCCAATAGTCGAATGGTTGAGCGCGGCGGCGATGACCCAGAGGTCGTGAGATCGATCCCCGCCGAGCACATCGCCATGTACATCATAGAAGCACAACAGTGGATTCCCTAGTACCGTCAAGCACTCGTCGCGGAAGCCCATCTCCAACAGGCGATCACATTCATCCAAGACGACTATCTCACACATCTCCAGATGAATATTTGGCGAATTCAAGAGCTGAATCAAATAACGAGTAACCTGCCTCATCCGCTTGTCCACTACTACCAAATCCAATACCCTGCCAGGCGTGGCCAACACAACGTCCGGCTGAGCTCGCATTTCCGAGGCCTGCTTCTGGGCATCGAAACCGCCTACCACTAAGCACGAGGTTAAAGGGGCAAACCTAAGACAGGACTTCGGGCTGCGAAAGTAACTTCATATTCACCTACTTGGTGAAGTCCCGAAGCATCTTGTAGCACTGTACCGCGAGTTCTCGTGTGGGCAGTAAAACAAGAGCCTTGGTCGCCGCTCGACCACCAGTGATACGACCAGTGTGGGGATCTTTACGGCGAGAGCGGACCTATGGGGTATCTTTAAAGATACAAAACAGGTCCGGATGGAGACTATTACGTGACTAGCTTGGCACAGTCGTTCCACAATCGGGAGAAGGAACCCCCCAGTCTTACCACTACCCGTCTCGGCCATCGCCAATATCTACACACGGGCAAGACTTTCCTCCCTCGTAATCCCAGAGCAACTAGAGTACATCCTGGCTTCTAAGAGCGACCGGTATCACGTCCCTTTGCACTGGTGTAGGCTCTGCGAAACCCAATGCATTAAGGCCTCTCAGGACAGGTCTCGAGAGCTGTAGAGAAGCCCACGCCACGTCTGAGATGACCAAACTCCTTCCTCGGGGATTACTCCAATTTTACGTGTCTCCAAATGTTTGCTTTTCTCCTTCTCATCATCATCACTGTCATCCTCAACTTTCTCATCAGAGGTCTCCTTCTCAGACGGAGATTCCTCCGAGCTCTCCCCAGCAACTCTATCGATCTTCTCCTGCAGTGTCGTGACGATCTCCATTTGTGATGCGGGCATGGCGTTTGCCTCCTCTGAAAGCCTCCAGAGTTCCCTTCCCCTCTGGAGTAGCACCCAACTTACCGAGTTCGTCCCAGACTGTCTTTTCCTCGCCAGCAGGGCCATCCTCCTCCTCCTCTACTACATCCTCGACCGTCCTCTTCAAGTCCATACTCTCTAGGTCTTCAGTGTTCATCTCGATATCATCATCATCATTTTCAGACTCTACACAACAACAGTAACACAAACTTTAACTACAAGTACTACCATGGTCCAATTCTGGCTCGGCGACCTCCTCCTCGTCAATTTCAGAGTCGCTGTACTCCCTGAACTCGTCCATATGGAACAATAACCGCTAAACTAGATCCATCGAAGGCATCTCCTCCCCCTATCACACATGTTGTCCCTAGCAAGCTTGGATATGCAGCAGCAGCAGACCTCCACAAGATAAGTCACTGCCGATACCGTCTAGTACTGTGACACGTGTCACCAGTGTTAGAATATATGTTCGTCACCGTCAGCTGAGCTCAGGAGTTCACAGGGACAGAAATGTACAGGAATCAATTCAAATTTCCTCAGAATTTTCATTGGGTGACCAACATATGTAGTTGACCATATGCAAATTTTCCCGCACTGCATTTTACATTCTGTTTGGTCACAATCCCGACTTGAGCATATCACAAGGCGAGAGAGCCGCCTGTGACTGATCCCGACTCGTAGGGATCGAGGATAGTGAAATCACACAACTAGAGGTGACACAACAATACACAATAACACAGAATAATATGCGATAATATCATCTAGCTTGCTAGGCTAGTAGGTTTCAAGCACCAACAGCTTCAACAGAATCATCAGTGACTCGATGAAGTCATCAAATATCGATGCTGCTGGACGGCCGTACGGCATCCCGACGGCTCGATATTACCCCCAACATAATGGTGAAACATCTATGTTGGTAACCCGACCAGTCGGTAGATATTACCCTGTCACGTCGTGACTCTCATGAGTTAAATGTGGGTTTCAACTCACGTTTCTCCCTACCTCGGCTGCCAGGCATGAGGAAATGGCTCACTGTTGCTCCACCCTGTCGACTACGTCTTAGGAGATAGAGCCAAGCACAAGTATTGTGATGACTGTCTCCCTCAGCGATCAGCGCGATCGATATGCTATAAGCTTAATTTATAGCCTCCTTTGTTGCTTATTGATCTTCACTACTAAGGTTCAGTGAAACTACGACTACCCCTACTACTACTCTCGTTGTTACAGACCATGCTTCCCCTCAAGAACTGCTACATCGTCTGTACTGGCCCCAATGGCGTCAAGGAGACGGAGTCCAACGGAGACACTGCTGCTGGTGAACGAACCTATGCTAGCTCCGACTACAACCACGGCTACTACAACCACTCCCATTGGCAGTATGGTAGCCCCTATCATAAACAAAACAAGTGGCGTTCGTGGAGGAACTGGTACCCAAGGAGAAGTCCCACGACTACTATGGATGGACTAACTCTCAAAAAAAATGGAATGGTGGTACAACGACTACAACAACGGTAAGGAGACCAATACTACAACGTCGGTGGAGAGTAGCCCTTGTCTGACATCCCCAAGAACTTCGTCCGTCCAAGCATCGCCTACTGAGGCCAACCCTACTACTACCACCACCGCCACCGAGCTCCACGAGGAGGGAGTCCTGACGTTCGATGATGACGTACCATGGTGGAAAAGAGCTGGTCGACCAGGTCCCTCGCCTGCTAAGGAGGCGAAGCTGAGACCGAACATCAACAAGAAAACTGGTGGAGCTCCGACGAGTTTTCCTACTGCTACAAGGGAGTACACCGGTACTACTACTTCTACACCTTTTAAACATCTAGTTCGTCCTTGGAACCATCAATTTCGTCGGGACGCGCGAAGTTGGAGGTACGAATCCGAAACGGGAAGATCATATTCGCAATTAGAACTTTCAACTTCGTCATAGAACTTTCAAGTTCGTCCGAAGTCGATAGGAAGTTCAAGTTCGTGTCAATAGAACTTTTAATTTCGACTTTCGAACCTTCGAATTCGTCATAGAACTTTCAACTTCGTCGAGTACACCTTCAGACCTTCGATTTCGTCCCTTTAGGAAAATCGACTTCGTCGTTCGGAACTTCAATTTCGTGTTACCGGGGCAATTATGCCAGTACTCTTACGATGAGGCTCGTGTTTTGCTAACCGTGTCACTCGTCCGTGGGCATCATGCAGAACCAAGCCTCTGCGACACCCATCCATGCGGCCGCTGCTCCCGCTCACCCCGTCATATCTCCTGACCGCGCGCACATGGCTCGAAAACATGGCGAGGAGGCATCGTTCCGCTGTCACAGCTCGCTTCTGAGGGCATGCTATTGGGTTGTTGAGTGAAGCAATCAACCACGAATACATGCCTGCCGGTGGTTGACTATGTCGTTTTCTTGATCGAGCCAGTCATATGAGTGGCTGCCAGCTACTGGCTGGCCGCACTATTCATGTGACATGACATTGATATGAGGATTTTCAATAGTGCCTTCGTTGTTGCTGTAGTACTACTTCGGTTGTGTACCGCGAGCACTAATCATAAGCCTCACCATGAGAGTACTGGCATGATTGCCCCGCAAACACGAAATTGAAGTTCCGAACGACGAAGTCGATTTTCCTAAAGGGACGAAATTGAAGTTCCAAAAGTGTACTCGACGAAGTTGAAAGTTCTATGACGAACTCGAAGGTTCGAAAGTCGAAATTGAAAGTTCTATTAGAACGAATTTGAACTTCCTATCGACTTCGGACGAACTTGAATGTTCTATGACGAAGTTGAAAGTTCTAATTGCGAATATGATCTTCCCGTTTCGGATCCGTACCTCCAACTTCGTGCGTCCCGACGAAATTGATGGTTCCAAAGACGAACTAGATGTTTAAAAGGTGTAGCACGAGCGCTGCAACTGGTACACGTCTGTGTGCTTTGCCCAGTCGACTTACTGAGCCGATCTCAGTTCCTGCTAGGGATACTCACCCGGCCTCTTCCGGTGATGAGATGCCCAGTAATGGTACCCTAAAGAGAACCAATAAGCGGTGTTCTCTCCCTAATGTTGACGATGCCAGTCATCTCAACAAAAAGGTGCGGGCTACGGCCACAAGCAGAGGCCACAGTGTGCAACAACTGCCCTCCAATGATGTCGGAGGTGAGCAAAGTTCAGTGAATAAGGCCAGAGAACGGCTTGCTGAGCCGATTGATCTTGGTAGTGCCAATGATGGCAACAGTGATGATGCTGATAATGGTGATTGGAGTGCTAGTAAGTCGCTCGTCAGAGAACGGCGAAGGGCCAAGAGTCTGCCGAAGAGGCAGAGACCTGATAGCTTAGCAAGAGGCGACGATGAAGAGAGCGCACGCCCACGGGCGAAGCGAAGCACTTGTGCAGCCACCCCAATAAGTGCGACTTCTCTACCTCGACTACCCAAAAGAGGTCGGA